TGTGTGTGTGTGTGTGTGTGTGTGTACGTGTATGTATGTATGTGTGTATGTGTGTGTGTAGATGTATTGGTAGAGCCAAAGGACAATTGTATCTGCTGCAAAATTGTATGTTTAATATATGACAAGGAAATGGAAAATGTGACATCCCAGAAATACGGTGATCTAAACAAACCTGAACAACATCAACTAGTTGACATGAAAACACGGACAGGAAAACTCTCACAAAGCTCCACACATATGTGAAAATCTGAAAACAATTAACAATTGCTGAAAGAGAAAAGGAATCATTTTTCCCCAGGAATGAGCACTCTAGTTTATTGTCTTAGTTATTTTTGTCTTGTCATGATATGACACAATGGCTAAAGCAACTTATATGAAAGAAAGAAAGAAAATAAAACATTTAATTTGGGGATCACAGTTCCAGAAGGTACTATAGTCCATGACATAATGGTAAAATGTGTAACAGCAGGCAGCAGACAGGCAGGCATGGTACTTAAACAATGGATGAGAGCTTACACCTTAGCCACAAGGGGGGGGGGGGCAGTGTGAAAGAATGATAACCTCAAATTCCACCCCTAGTGATACAGTTCCTTCAGCAAGTTACACCTTCTAATAATTCTCAAATAGTTTACCAATTGCTGACCAAGCATTCAAATATAGTTTTTTTGTGAGCCATTTTTATTCAAACTACCACAAAGATCAAGTAGTGGTCCTGAAATTATGTGCATATAAAAAACATTAAATGGAGAAGGCAGCTTGTATTTCTGCAGCTATATGTATTATACATGTAATAGCTAAAGAAAAAGAGAAAAATTACACATGCAAGTACAGAGATACACAATAAAAATGATATATGCATCAATTCTCAATAATCTACTATCTTTCCCCCTCCTGTCCTGCCTATCAATAATTTCATTTGGGATAATCAATCAGTTATTTTGTTTTTATAGAACAGCATGACTGTATTGATTTTTTTGACATAAAACAAATGCTAGCCAATGGGAGACTAAAGAGGTTTGTAAGCATGGGTTACTAAGTCTAAAAATAGAATTTAATATTTGGTCTCTGTAGCCAGAACTGACGGGCAGAGTGAATGGAATTTTATGTAAGAAGTGGGAAATAGTAAGAGCTGGAGGACAGGAACTCCACAAGGAGAGCAACAGAACAAGAAAATTTGAACACAAGGAACTTCCCAGAGACTCATACTCCAACCAAGGACTATCTGTGGAGATAACCTAGAACCCTGACAATGCAGCCACTTCTGATGAGAACTAATAGACTAAGATCAGAAAGAAGGAGAGGAGGACCTCCCCTATCAATGGACTTGGGGAGGGGCATGCATGCAGAAAGAGGGGGAGGGTGGGACCAGGAGGGGAGGAGGGAGGGGCTTATGGGGGGATACAAAATGAATAAAGTGTAATTAATAAGTTAAATAAAAAATTTTAAAAGAGATGAAGTTTAACTAAGTAGTTTACATTAGTATTAGAGTAGAAAATGTTAAGACCATTGCTTTTGTCATAAGTAGTATATACTTCACTACTATATGATATGTAATAAATGTTTTTTAATGAAATTTTTTGAAGATAAATTTTTCCTTTTCTATGCAATCCTCTATTTGTGCTATTCTTACAATAAAAATTGAAAAATTAACATAATATATGTTCAAATAAATGAACTTTAAAAACAATCAGATTATTTGATTTAGATAAGTTTCTACCTTTTTGGTTTCAAAAAAACATTGAAAAATGTATACATGTTATAATTTTATCATTTTTAAAAATTGATGTACATATAATTCATAAAGATTTAAGTATTTTAGTCCACTAAATTATAAGTTAATGCTTCAAAATATATACTTCTTTAAAAATTATGCCATTGGCTCTATGAGGCTTAAAAGATGGCTTGCCAAGTTAAAAACCAAACCAAACAATACCAGGTTGGTTCTCACAGGATTAAAGTTTGTTTCCCAGCACCAGTGTGGGACATATTGTAACTCCAGATGCAGAGGATCAGACAAAATTGACTGGCATCTGGGGGCACCAACACACACAACCAATTAAAAAGAAATGATTAACATGCTTGGTTGGATCTACAGAAGCAGGTATACAGTGTCGCTCAAAATATTTTCATAATCATGAATATTTAATTTATGTTTTTAAAATTTTTATATCTTAATTTTATATAATATTTTGAAACTATTTTCAGCAATTTGCCTATCATGTGAATGTTTGAATTTCAAAAATGATAGCATGGAATTTCAGGATCTGTGATAGTTGGGTTTTACTGTCAACTTATAAAGTGGCCTGGTGGAACGTTTGTGAATAATTGTCTTAATTACATTGATTTATGTGGGAAGATTCAGAACAGTTGGGTGCCACTATTCCCTAAACAGAAAATCCTGGGCTGTGTAAGAGTGGATACAGTAAACTGAAGAGTAAGTACACGTGTTCTTTGATGTTTTTAATTGCAGATGTGATCTTACCAACTACCTCAAGCCTATGCTGCTATGATTTTCCTGCTATTACAGCCAATAACTGGAAGTTGTACATTAAAATAAATTCTCTCCTAAGAAAATAAATGATTAAAGAAACTTGTAATATATTTAGGAATCAACTACTATCATGTGTGGATGTGTCTTTTGTATTATCACATTCTCTTGTAATGGTGCTATTTCTGGAAGGATTTGTACTCTTCTTTTGAGGTACAAGAGAGAGGTTTCAGATGCTTAGATCCTACTATACTTCTTGCTTTCTGATCTGCCACAAGGGAGAAGCCATGCCACACCCTCTTTGCCTTTTCTGTCAATACAGCTGACTACCTTCTGGAACCATGTTCTAATAAGTATACTTCCACCCGTACAGTTTGTCTGTTGTGGTCACAGAACCCAAAAAATAGTAAATAAAAATAGTAATAGTAATAATAATAATAACAATAGAAATCCTAGATTGCTAGCCGAAATGGGATTCATAGAGCTAAAAACACCAAGAGTGGATATAGAATCAGGTTTTGTTTTACTCTTAGGCAAAAATAAGAAGATACGACTGAGTCAACATACCCATGCTGTCTGAAACAGACTTAGAAATTTCCCCTACGCTGATAGTCATCTATCTTTTTTTTGATTTTTTAAAATTATTTATTCATTACACTTTATTCACTTTGTATCCCCCCTGTGGTTCCCTCCCTCCTCCAGTTCCAATCCCTCCCTTCCTCCACTCTCTGCATGCATGACCCTCCCCAAGTCCACTGATAGGGGAGGTCTTCTTTTCCTTCCTTCTGATCCTAGTCAATTAGCTCTCATCAGGAGTGGCTGCATTGTCTTCTTCTGTGGCCTGGTAATGCTGCTTCCCCCTCAGGGGGAGGTAATTAAAGAACAGGCCAATCAGTTCATGTCAGAGACAGTCTCTGTTCCTATTACAGTGAAACCCACTTGGACACTGAACTACCATGGGCTACATCTGTGCAGGGGTCTTAGGTTATCTCCATGCATAGTCCTTGGTTGGAGTATCAGTCTCAGGAAAGACCCCTGTGCTCAGATTTTTGCTTCTGTTGCTCTCTTTGTGGAGTTCCTGTCCTCTCCATGTCTTAATGTTACCCGCTTCTTTCCTAAGATTTCCTGCACTCTGCCCAAAGGTTGCCCACAAGTCTCAGGATCTGCATTGATAGTCTGCAGGACAGAGCTTTTCAGAGGTCCTCTGTGTCAGGCTCCTGGATAGTCATCTATCTTAATTCACAGAAATGAACACATTATGGGTGCTCATCAGTTGATGACATGAGATCTATATTTTTCAATTGCTCATGGTGTGTCCATTATTAAAATTTATTCTTTCTAAATCACTATGGAGATATTTACTACATTATATATGTTATGATGATTTCTCTCTTGTGGGGTGTACCAAATTTCTTTCTCCTAATGATGTTTACTAGTTATAATTACCTATGAACTAAAGTTAAATAAATTCAGAAATATAAATTCAGAAAAATGACCAAAGATTATGAGTCTTTTCCTCTATATTTGACAAAACTTCCTATGTCTGCAATGATAGCTTCAACAATATTGAATTGGTGTGTGTGTGTGTGTGTGTGTGTGTGTGTGTGTGTGTGTGAACATTGTGCCCTGATTCTCTTATTCTCAGAGGCATTCCTTCATATCCATCTGCTCAATTAGGAAACAAAAAGAAATGTAATGATTATTTTCTATTTATTGTGATAGACTTGGTTAAAATTCTCCTTTTACAATATAATAAATGCAGTAATCACATAATAGACAATAATTAGAGTGATTTCACTTTACCTTTTACAATTAACAGATGTTATGGCAAGTTCTCCTCTCACCTAAAGATCCCCAAACGTTATGCAAAGTTTTTAAAAGATAGTTCCATGATTAAACAAAAGTAAACAACAACAAAAACAAAGAAGAAAACTTTTATTGTGGACTTCTTCATATCTAATTCCATATTCATACTAACTCAACACCCTCTCCATTTTACTTTTACGCATGAGTATGTGTGTTTCTACCTATGTTGTGGCTGGTGCTCAGAAAGGCCAGAAGAGGGGGCCAGACAGGCATGAGCTGGAATTAGAGGCTGTTGTCACCTGACATGGGTGTTGAGAACTAAACTCTGTTCCTCTCTGCAGAGCAGCAAGTGCTCTTAGCCACTTAGCCTTCTCTTCAGCTCATCTAGAACCTGCTCTGACTCCCACTTATACTCCCTCCCACAACATCTAAGTGCAATGCTCATGATTAATACCATTTCATGCAGAAAGGGGGGGAGAGTGGAACTGGGAGGGTAGGAGGGAGGAGCTTATGGGGGGATACAAAATGAATAAAGTGTAATTAATAAAAGTTTAAAAAATACTATTTCAGTAATTAAAATAGGTACTGACAAGAAAATTGTATGGGGGATGACTAAGGAAAAGATATTTTTCCAGTTCCACTATGTATATATGATTGATTTTTTTTTTTTGTGCACCAAAATGCACACACAAACTCTGAATACATAATGTATTGGCTGATGTACTTATCAATAGGTGAGTGTGGAGAAATTAAAAGTAGAATTGTTAAGTATCTTATAAAGATTTACAAACATAAATTGATTTTCACTTGTATGTGGACACTTCCTGTTCAAATATGCTATGTCTTGAGTTAATTGGATATCACTATCATCTATCTAGTTTTCTATATATCACTATTTTTATCTATACCTATAGTATCTAATTATACCTATAAAACTATATATGTGTATGTGTATATATGAACATGTTTATGATTTCTTATTGGAAAAAATAAATAAAATTTTGAGTCACCTTCATTTTAATAAAACATATTCTTCTAAAAAATAAGAACAAAATCATTCCTGGAGGGGAACTATTTTAGAAAGTAATCAGGAAATAGACATTTTAGATGTAATTTTGGTACCAACCGTCTTATCTCTACTACTGTAAGATTAATAATATTCACACAAACACTGCTAACCAATCGCATCTGACCTAATGTCTGTAGTAATGCATCCCTAACTGCTTATCTAGGAAAATAAAACCAATCAGAAGTAAACCTCGTTATTAGAGTATTAATTTAAGAATGTTTTTATAATATCACCTGAAAATAGAAATCTTTCTTTGTGATACTATTTTGCAAGTTGAATTCCTTTAGAGTTCTTAAAATCATCATTGCAAATTCTTTCATTTATTTATTTTTTATTGATTATAGTTTATTCACTTTGTATCCAAACTATAGCCTCCTCCCTCAGCCCCTTCCAATCCCACCCTCTCTCCCTCATTTCCTCCCATGCCCCTTTTCCAGTTCGCTGATATGTGATGACCTCCTTCCTTTCGCTCTGACCCTAGCATATCAGGTCTCATCAGGACTGGCTGCATTGTCTTCCTCTGTGGCCTGGCAAGGCTTCTCACCCATCAGGGGGAGGTGGTCAAAGAGCCAGCCAATGTGTTCATATCAGAGATTGTCCCTGTTCCCATTTCTAGGGAACCCATGACTGAGCTGCCATGGGCTACATCTGTGCAAGTGTTCTAGGTTATCTCCAGGCATGGTCGTTGGTTGGAGTACCAGTCTCAGGAAAGACCACTGGGCCTAGATTTTTTGATTCTGTTGCTGTCCTTGTGGAGCTCCTGTCCCCTCCAGGTCTTTGTAACTCCAACTTCTTTCATAAGATTCCCTGCACTCCGTCCAAAGTTTGGCTATGAGTCTCAGCATCAGCTTTGATACACGGCCTGATAGAGTCTTTCAGAGGCCCTCTGTGGTAGGCTCCTGTCCTGTTCCCTGTTTATTCCCTCTTCCAATGTTCAGCCTGTTTGCCTTTCTGAGTGAGGATTGATCACCTTACCCTGGTCCTCCTTCTTGCTTAGCTTCTTTAGATTTTAGCGTGTTTATTCTAAACTATATTTCTAATATCTACTTATAAGAGAGTGTATACCATGTGTGTCTTTCTGCTTTGGAGATACTTCACTCAGGATGAGCTTTTCTAGTTCCAGCATTTGCCTGAAAATTTCATGATTTCCTCGTTTTTAATTGCTGAATAGCACAAAACTAAAGTCCAAGTTGATCAAAGACATCAACATAAAACCAGACACACTAAATCTGTTAGAAGAAAAAGTGGGGAAGAGCCTTGAATTAATTGGATCAGGAGATAACTTCCTGAACAGAACAACAACACATGCTCTAAGATCAACAATCAATAAATGGGATCTCATGAAAGTTAAAAGCTTCTGTATAGCAAAGGATACTGTTGTCAGAACAAAATGAGAGCCTACATGATGGGAAAGGGGCTTCAATAGCCCTATATCTGACAGAGGGTTAATATCCAATATATATAAAGAACTCAAGAAGTTAAACAGCAACAAATCAAGTAATCCAATATAAAAAACAGGATACAGAGCTAAACAGAGAATTCTCAATAGAGGAATATTAAATGGTAGAGAAACGCTTAAAGAAATGTTCTGGGAACAGCCATCTTTTCTGAGACTGATACTCTAACCAAGGACCATTCATGGAGATAACCTAGAAGCTCTACACAGATGTAGCCCATGGCAGCTCAGTGTCCATGTAGGTTCCCTAGTAATGGGAACAAGAATTATCTCTGACATGTGCTCAATGGCTGGCTTATTGATTACCTACACCTTAGGAGGGTACAGCCTTAGCAGGCCACAAAAGAAGACAATGCAGCCAGTCCTTATGAGAACTGATAGACTAGGATCAGACAGAATTATAGGAGGACTTCACCTATCAGTGGACTTGGGGAGGGGCACGGGAGAAGATGAAGGAGGGTAGGATTGGAAGGGGACTAGGGAGAAGGCTATAACTCAGATACAAAATGAATAAACTGTAATTAATAAAATAAAATAAATTTAAAATGCAAAAAAATAGAAATGCTTAATGTCCTTAGTCATCATGGAAGTGCAAATCAAAATGACACTGAAATTTCACCTTACACCTATCAGAATGGCTAAGATCAAAAACTTAAGTGACAATGCATGCTGGAGAGGATGTGGAGAAAGGGGAACCCTCCTCCACTGCTGGTGGGAATGTAAACTTGTACAACCACTTTGGAAATCAATCTGGTGCTTTCTCAGACAATTAGGAATAGTGCTTCCTTAAGAACCAGCTATACTACATCTAGGCATATATCCAAAATATGCTCAAGTACACAAGGACATTTACTCAACCATATTTGTAGCAACTTTATTGGTAATAGCCAGAACCTGGAAACAACCCAGATGCCTCTCACAGAAAGTGTGGTACATTTATACAATGGAATACTACTCAGCAATTAAAAACAAGGAAATTATGAAATTTGCAAGCAAATGGTGGAAACTAGAAAAGAATATTCTGAGTGAGGTATCCGAGAAGCAGAAAGACACACATGGTATATATTCACTTATAAGTAGATATTAGACATATAATACAGGATAAACATACTAAAATCCGTACAGTTAAAGAAGCTAAGCAAGGAGGAACAGAGTAAGATGATCAATTCTCACTCAGAAAGGCAAACAGGCTGGACATTGGAAGAGGGAAAAAACAGGGAACAGGACAGGAGCCTACCACAGAGGGCCTCTGAAAGACTCTATCAGGCCGTGTTGTAAAGCTGATGATGAGACTCATAGTCAAACTTTGGACGGAGTGCAGGGAATCTTATGAAAGAAGTTGGAGTTACAAAGACCTGGAGGGGACAGGAGCTCCACAAGGAGAGCAACAGAATCAAAAAATCTAGGCCCAGTGGTCTTTCCTGAGACTGATACTCCAACCAACGACCATGCCTGGAGATAACCTAGAACACTTGCACAGATGTAGCCCATGGCAGCTCAGTCTCTTCATGGGTTCCCTAGAAATGGGAACAGGGACAATCTCTGATATGAACACATTGGCTGGCTCTTTGACCACCTTTCCCTGATAGGTGAGAAGGCCACAGAGGAAGACAATGCAGCCAGTTCTGATGAGACCTGATATGCTAGGGTCAGATGGAAGGGGAGGAGGATATACCCTATCAGTGAACTTGGAGAGGGGCATGGAAGGAAAAGAGGTAGGGAGGCTGAGATTGGGAGGAAATTAGGGAGGGGGCTACAGCTGGGATATAAAGTGAATAAATTTAATTAATGTAAAAAATTAAAATAAAAGAAGAACACATCTGAATTTGAGATCTATTTTGCCAGTATCTGAAGATGAGTGGCTGTATGAGCAAGTGAATATGCGGACAGAGGGCTGCATTATTGGCTTTGATGAGTACATGAACCTTGTATTAGATGATGCAGAAGAGAGTCATTGTAAAACAAAGTCAAGAAAACAACTGGGTCGGATCATGCTAAAAGGAGATAATATTACTCTGCTCCAAAGTGTATCCAACTAGAAATGGTCAAGCACGGGAGAAGTTGTGTTTGGAAATCCGGTTTTTAAAGATATTTTTTTGTGCTGAGAACAGCCTGAGACATTTATATGCATTGTTTTAGTGCCCCTTACCACTAACAATAAATGCTGTGAGATTGTTTTTGTTACAAAAAAAAAAAAAATAACACATCGTCTCTGAGCTTTTTCTAAGATGTTTGTATATCCTCAGTTTATTTGAGTGCCTCACTACTTACCCATTTGTGTGTCACACATTGCTAACCACAATTTTACTCATATGTTTTCTCATGGAATATATACATTCATCTAGTTTCTGAGATCTATTCATATTTATGGTTATTATGCAGACGTTCTTGAGAAATATATATCATAAGGCTTCTATTTTAAGAATTATACTAAATAGTAAATTTTACATTTCCATTAATGATCTGCATACTGCTGTTATATCTAAGTATTTACTCCTGCTTCCTATGTCATTTAATTTTTACAGTTATTTAAATAATAGTTGATAATTTTTGCATTTCAAAAATATTTAGGTTTGTAATTCTCCAAGGACACACAAAGTTATTTATTCTAGTAAACTAATGTATTTGCTCTACTGTTGCTGGAATAGCATGTTATAGATTTCAAAAGACTTAATTTGGTTGATCATAGTAATTGTAATGTTAAACTAATGGAAGTTACGAGTTGTGAGCTGTCAGGTAGAGGCTGGGAATAAAACATAGGTCCTCTGGAACAGCATCCAGTGCTCTTAACCACGAGCCACCTTACTAGCTTCTGTATTTTTATTCATTTTCTTCTATATTTGAGATTATAATTATAAAATTTCTATCTTCTCTTTCCTTTCTCCAAACCTTCCAATATATTCCTCTACACTTTCTTTGAAATTTATGACCTTTCTCTACTAAACACCATTTAATGAAAAAAATATATATATATTTGCTTAATGCTTTAAGAAAAATAATGAGGCACAAAGCATGTTTCTTGGCTGACACTTGGTTTTACTCCTCAAGATGTTAGCACTGGAAAGTTGGATGTTGTGATCTTGTAATGTCAGAAATCGATAGTAACTTTCCTTGACATCACTGATTTTCTTCACTTTCTACTTTGATGTCTGCTAACATAGACACTGCGTGGAATGCCCCTTTCCCTGCCTAGAACTTGTCTGGCTCTAAAGAAGGGTAACCTATCTTTATTGTAATTGATGTGCACTTTAAGCTGGACTTGCAGCTCCATGAATAACAAAAGCATAGGAGAGGCTGTTTCTAGTGTTCCCTCCCAAGTGTACTATGCTCCGTCTTTCAGATTTGAGAACTATGGAGATTTAAAATTCGTCTATTATTTGGGACTAATCTGGAGGCTTGGATTTCTGGATAGTATTCATAGAAGGAGCACTTCACACCAAATTCTGCAATAATAGAATAAGTCTCAACAAGCTTTCCATATTTTGCTGATTGACATGATTTGTCTAAACAGCTATAAATCTTAGTGCTTCATTCAAAGTTGAAATATATTGTAACATATTTTATATTATAACAATGTTTTATAGTCTGTCAATACATCACAGAACAATATCAATCTGTTGAGTCCTTTTTCAGTTGCACCTCATTTAATTAGAACTGTCACACTAAGTCTTCAGAATGGAAAGATACAAAAAGTTTATAGTTTGAAGAATGCAGAATCACATGCACCAGAGTTTCGGTACTATAGACATGGGCACTGAGTCAGATTTAGGTCAAAGGAGAGAAGACAGTAAGGCTGTAAAACTGTGTTTTCAAATTTTGAATATAATTCTATTATTCAAATCACTGAGTAGATGCTATTATATTCCATCATGGGGGCAGATAACCTTCTCAGGACTGGAAGGATCTGTGGTAAAGAAAGTTTAGTGATCTTGCAGAGGACCCTGGTTTGATTCCAAGCACCATCATCAGGTGACTTACAGCTGCCTGAATCCCAGTTCCAGAGAATCCTATACCATCTTATAATCTCTACTGACATCTACATGCACATGAGACACAGACAGAGATTCGGTCACACACACACAGACATGCATACAAGCAAAATATTTATATGTATATATAAATATACATATAAATATACATAAGCAATATACGTATATATGTTTTATGTGTGTATATGTGTTTTATATATGTATATATTATATATATATATACATACATGTAAGTATGTTGTTTGTATGCATGTGTATGCATCACATGTTTGCAGTGCCTGTGGAAGACGGAAAAGACATTGGATCCTCTAGGACTGGAGTTGCAGATGGTCCTGAGAGTCAAACCCTGGTCTTCTGGAATATCAGCCAGTGTTAAAGATTGAGCTATCTCTCCAGCTCCACAAATAAAATAAAAATAAATACAAACAAAATAAAAAGGCATCTTCTCTTACAAAACTCTCTCTAAGATATGACACAAAACACTAATAGACCTTGCAACACCTCCCCAGTATTTGAAATCACTGATTTCTAAAGAGTTTTGTAGAGAAGTGAATTCTTATTTCTTACATGATAGAGTTTTTAATGAATAATTTACATAGCATTGTTCTTATTTATGTACATTTGTAGATAGCTGATACGGGGACTCATTGGCTCATGATCTGATCCCTGAGTTTTAGAGTAGTTTACAAAGTATTTTTAAACAATGTTTAAATTGTATGTCTTTGATGTCACAACAATTACTTTCAAAGTGCCCATATTTTACCTGCATTTCTCTTCTAATTTCTCTCTTTGCATCTCTAAACAGCTGTTCCTCCCTCTTCCCTCTGCTCTTGTTTCATAAGAATCACTAATGAGTCTCTGAAAAGTGTGCTAAATGCCCTAAAGCTGTAATAAATAGGAAGACAGCTTTTAAAACTTACTTTTATATGTACTCCATTTAAAATTTAAATCCAAAATTAAACACACACACAGGCATGAGGTACACACACACACACACACACACACAGAGGGAGAGAGAGAGATTACAGAGGCTACTTTCCTTCATTTTTCTTTTAAAACAATGTCTGTATTTTGCATTACACTGCTTGAAAGTATAATACATATGTAAAAATTAAAGAGAATTAATACAAAATATTTATGTACACACAGACATATTTCACACATGAGTGTTAAAATCTGTCCGGTTACATACAATAATAATAATAATAATAATAATAATAATAATAATAACAACAACAAAAGTTGTATTTTTTGTTGTTGTTATTATTATTATAGTATTAAAAGCATAGTATTTAGTGCTGGGAAGATATTCAATAATTAAGAGCACTGGTTACTCTTTAGATGACCTGGGTTCAGTTTTCAGGACCAGCATAGCAGCTCAAAACAGTTTGTAGCTTCTGTTCTAGGGGTGAGCCACCCCCCTGTGAAATTTACAAGTGCACAGACATTCACACAACCAAAATACTGACACATTTATTTAAAATACCAACACATAAAATTTTAAATTACTTTATATATACATTTTTTTATTTTTTAAATATTAGTTACAGTTTATTAACTTTGTATCCTTGCTTTATCCCGCTACTTCTTTCCTTCCCAATCCCACCCTCATCTCCTCCCTGTCCCTTTCCAAGTCCACTGATAAGGGAGAACTTCCTCCCCTTTCATCTGATACTGGATTATCAGGCTTCTTCAGTTCTGGCTGCAAAGTCTTCCTCTGTGGCCTAACAGGGCTGCTCCTCCCTCGGGGGTGGGGGAGGAGGTCAAAGAGACCGCCATTGAGTTCATGTCAGAAACAGTCCCTGTTCCCCTTCTTAGGGTACCCACTTGGATACTGAGCTACCAAGGGCTACTATTCTGCCCAGTTCACAAACCCCAAAAGACCAGGAATAAACAGGCTCCACTGTAAATACATGAGGTTCTTTTTATTGTAAATTACAAGGTGCAGCATGGGCCCACACCCCTCCCCCACCGCTGAAGCGGTGGGAGCTGCGACCAGGTTAGTTGGGTCATATGTAGATTCTGGTCCCTCCCAACATGCCCAAGGCAGGGGCAATTCCTGCCTGGTAAACATCTATTGGTCAAAATGCTACATTTTGAATTGATTGGCTATAAGAAGGTCCCCAGACCATAATGACCTGGTGCCTCTCTCTAGGGGGATGGGCCAGTTTCCTAGCAACTGTATCTTAGTGGGTGGGGAAAGAATGCAGTAAGGCGGTCCTTCACCTCAGGGCATTACTAGGCTTCTCCACCCACCTAGTTCAGGCTTTAATTAATAGCCGATTTTTAATCTTTGGTCTCTCACTACATCCGAGCAGAGGTTCTAGGTTTCATCTATACATGGTCCTTGTTTGGAGAAACAGTCTCATAAAAGACCCCTGTGCTCAGATATATTTGGTCCTTGGGTAGCTCCTTTTCTCTCCAGGTCATATTAACTCCCCCCCCCCTGCCCCCTTTATTTTATGATTCCCTGCACTCTGCCCAAGGTTTGGTTATGAGTCTTAATATCTGCTTTGATATACTGCTAGGCAGAGTCTTTCAGAGGCCTTCTGTAGTAGGGGGCTGGAAAAGTGCAAATGGATCCAGAAAACAAGTTGGAGTAGCTATCCTAATGTCTAATAAAATAGACTTTCAACCAAAATTAATCAAAAAAGATAAGGAGGAGCACTACATTCTCATCAAAGAAAAAATCCACCAAGAGGACATCACAATTCTGAACATCTATGCCCCAAATACAAGAGCGCCTACATTCGTAGATGGTAGATGAAACATTATTAAAGTTAAATCACACATTGATCCTAATACCTTAATAGTGGGAGACTTCAACACCCCACTCTCACCAAGGGACAGATCAACCAGACAGAAACCAAATAGGGAAATAAAGGCACTTACAGAGTCCTGAAATCAAATGGACCTAATAGATGTCTACAGATGTTTTCACCCAAACTCAAAAGAGTATACCTTCCTTTCAGCACCGCATGGAACCTTCTCCAAAATAGACCATATAGTTGGTCACAAAGCAAGTCTCAACAGATAGAAGAAGATTGAAATAATCTTTTGTATTCTATCTGACCACCAGGGACTAAAGCTGG